ACAGGCAGCGACAGTTTTATTGCAGATGCTGGAGCCTGAGATTGAGTGGGCCATGGAAAACAGGACCGAGGATACAGGTGGACCAGGATAAGTGGTCTTACAAGCCCTGCCCTTCCCACCAGGGAGGCCCAGTGGATTTTTGGGAACTGTTTGCCATTTCTGTGGTCCCCGACAATTCCTGCAGCATGGAGGGAAGGTCAGGAGACGAGTGCTGCTGGTGAGGACATGCAGCTTGATGCAGAGGATGAAGAGGATAAAGATGTTTCAGAAGGATTTTCTGAAAACCAAAAGGAAATATGCACATTGCAGCCTTGGAGAAAGGTCCACTTCGCTTTTTAATAATAAAGGGTGACATGCAAGCTTTATTAACAAGGCACGTAGGGAAAAAAAAGGCTCAAGGGATAACCCTGAAAAAGTGGCGCTAAACGTGTCATTTTTATGAAGCTGATTTTGTGAAGGGTCCCTACATGCTTTGGCAGGAGGTTGCAGCAGGTTTACAATAATTTGTAGAAAGATAGGAATGTTTTCACCCTGAAGTGAGAAGAAGGGCAAAAAACCCTGCGTTGAGATGCTTTAGAGTCGCCTTCTGAGGCGGAGGCTGGCGGAGGGATGGATACCTGTCACTTCGGGTCGGGAGAGATGAGTCCAGCTTTAAACAGCCATGGACTTTGCTGGGGGGCTGATGTGCGGACCAAGGAGCCAAACCCTTCATCAAGAGCCTGGATCCTGACATAGCGGGGAAAGCTGGATTTTCCTCTCCGTGGTGTTTGGTTTGGAAGAAAACCAATTTGAAATAGCTGAAAAGAGGGAAGAGTGAGAAAGACAGGTCCTGGGCATCTGCCCCGAGCCAGGCAGGCTGGCAGGGACACGGCTGTGCTGATCCGAGCCTCCTGGCACAGCCCAGGATATGTTCCCCCAACCCTGGGGACCGACCCCAGCCAACATCCTCTATTTCTCCATCAGTCCGCAGCGGTGGTCGTGCCTGGAGTTGCCGCAGCCCACTGACCTTTCTGCTGGCACTTGCATTAGTTCCCCTTAAACTGCCTTTGGATCCTCTAGGGTTTACTTCTGTTTCTAAGGCAGAGAGTGAGCAGTCGTTAGAGCAATGCCCTGTTGCTAACGAACCTTTTGCTAATGGGGAAGTCACCCCCCCGCCGATGTCCAGGTCAAGAAGAGTTGCACTGACGTTTGTACGTCTTTTTTTTTTTAATTTAATGGAATTGGCAGTCCTCAACCGAAAGCAACCGCTAGGGAAAAAAAAAACCACAAAGTTTAAAATTTCCCTGCTGATTGCTTGATTCTGAGTGTGTCTGTTGTTATATTTATATTTGTGTTGCTAACGCAGCAGTTAAAAGCATTTTTCAAATTAGGCATTGGTAAGCTGCATGCCAAGCCAGGACTGTTTCTTTGATGGCATTGACACCAACACGCCTGCATCTGGAAAGCAAATCCCGAGCCCGGAGGACAGCGGGATTTCTCTCCTCTGAGAGAAATGCAGGCTGAGACCGCAGACTTTATGCTAGGTGTTATTCAATGCTTCCCGATGTCTTGAATGTGTTGTTTATTCATAGCACAGAGGCTGAGGGTCTGATCCTGACAAGCGTGAGCATCCTTTATTCATGTTACAATGAGCAGGAGATAAGAATTGGCAGCGCTGTTCGGGAGGTCCTTGCCATGGAAAGGAGAGGCTGGGCTCCCCTTTGATTTCTGCAGGAGCGATGCTGATCAGTGAGAAGGTAACGGTTTGTTTGCTTTTGCCAAAACAACGAAGAAGATGAGGGCTGGCCTCTCAATGATGCACTTTATGAAGAGCACACTTTCATCTGCACCAACCAGCCTTACCTTTTCCCTCTTTTTTGTGCTTCGACTTTGTTCTTTGGGCCTCATTAAGAGAGGGAGTGGATCCTTTCCCAATTAAAATGTTGACATGTCGGAGACGCTCTCCTTCCCCATCATTTTACCTCTGTTTGTGATTGCACTTGGCGGGATGAACCAGAATTAAATCAAGTGAACTTCGATTGAATAATGCAAGCTATAAAGCAGCCCTTCTCCATGAAAAATCTCATTTCTTTTTTATTTTTCTGTTTTGATCCCCTAGCCTGCACGGAGATAACCTTGACGGATAATCCCAGAGCTGAGGAGGTCTTGTAAACTGCTGGGCTGCCTTGTGCACCGGTGGGAGCGTGCCGGTGCGGGCAGCGTGGGTACCTCTTGCCAAGACTATAAACCCCCAGCCCAGGGAAGCAGATTTCCCATCCTTGTGGCCATGTCACTCCTTGTTTTGTTGGAAATATGGAATTAATTAGCGTTAGTCGTGCTGGGTTTGATGGTGTGGGGGTTTCCAAGCCTGGGAACGGATGCTGTGACCGACCCTGCGGGAACCCTCTGGCTTGCCTGTGGACTTACGGGGTTGCATTGGTGAGGTGGTGCAGAGCATCCTGAGCGGGGGGGACACGTGGACCGGGGAATCCACATGGGAAGGACATTACTGCAGTCCATCAAACGTAAATCATGGGGAATTTGCTCATCGGTGAACGATTTCAGATGAACTAGGATTTGGTCTTCTTTTTTGGTCAGAAATCAATAGCAAAGCTCCTGGTGACGTTGGTCAGAGAGGGATTTAGCGCCAGGTTGGTATCTTGGCTGCGGCAGGAGACATGATGGCAGCACGTGTGGTGTTTCCTCAGCCTGTGGTCGAGTTTCGGTGGCATCAGTGGAGCGTTCCTTGCGGATGGCCCTGGGTATCCCTTGGCCCCTGAAGCCTGGGCCATGTGGTGTCAGTGCTCTGAGCATTTTAAAGCTCTGTGACATACCTGTATACATTGAAATTTGCTCTCTGAGTCCTCCCACCCACATGTTCCTCTCCTGGTTTTCCCAGGACGGAGATGCGCACACATAGGGATGAAGCTGATGGAGGCAGTGGTGGGTGCAGGGGGTCTCACATTGCTGCTGGGCATGGCAGTGGTGCTGGGGATGCAGGAATGGAGCCTTGCTGGGGCCATTACCACATCCTCCAATGCAGGGTGATCCAGGGGGTTTCCCACTGGGCAGGGATTGCTCCAAAACTGGCTCCGATCCCTCCTGCCCTCCATCGCTCGGCTGCCCTCTGAGCCCATTTGTAGGGCTGCAATCTCCTGTGGGGCTGCTGTGGGGGGATGCTGTGGGGTGGCATCCCTCCGCCTAGGATGGCAGCGGCAGGATTGGTGGATAAACATAGAATCAGGCATTTTCTGTGGTGTTTAAAGTCTTGGGTGTTGCGTATTTTAAAAATACATGTGTCCGTTTGCTTCCGAGCTCTAACCATCAAAGTCGTCCTGCAGGACTGAGGATGCAGAAACTGCAGGGACCAGTAGTTTGTGCAGTAAATCTCCTGCGTGCCTCTCCAGCAGTAATTACTATGTGAAAGTAATAACCGAGCTGTGCTGAGTGCTAGGCCAACTCCCCCGGCTCGCAGCTCCTTGCATGTTTCTCTCTGGGAGGCTCCTGTTTGGTAAATTAGATATTGTGCTGTATTTCAGAAAAGGTCACACTTACCCAACGCTGCCTTTGCTTTATTATCTTGGCAGAGCAATGTAACCTCTGCCAGGGTACGATTGGATTTCACATTCGGCTCTGCTGCAGCCGCCCCGCTCCCTGCATCCTGCCATTGTGATTACGTTAGCAGCAGACTCTGCTTTCCTTTATTTATTGAGACATTAAAGATGCATGCATTTATTTTTACCATGTTCATAATTGCCATAAAAACAGGCCATACTATCCCAGAGCGGCTCTTTGGGAAGGAGAGCGGCCGCGGGGCTGGGGTGAGGAGGAGCGGTGGCAGAGAGGAGGCAGGACAGGGCTGCTGGGGCAGGTGGCTGTCCCCTCCTCTGTCCTGGGAGGACACTGCTGTCAGCCCAGAGGAAGGGGATCAGAGCAGAGTCTGCCCCTTCTGCTGCCCAGGGTGCCTGGGGGGACAAGGAACATCCCCCAGGCCAGGGATGATGCTGGTGGGAGCCCAGGTGGGATCCCTGCAGATCTGGGGGGACACTGGGTGGATGGACAGATGGACTGGGGTGTCTGACTTTTGTACAAGAGACCTGCATCCTCAGGGGTCCCTGAAGCCCAGGCAGGATCCTGGCTAGGCCATGTAGATCCCACCATGTCCCACCGCATGACTTCCACTGTGACTCACCATCCGTCTCCCACCACATCCTTCCACGCGACTGCCACTGCATCCCACTGCACCGCTCCCGCCACATCCCACCCCGCAGCTCCCACCACGTCCCATCCCACGGCTCCCACCATGGCCTCCTGCTTTCTTCCCTACCTTCTGGTTGCTTTTTTTGATTCCTTACCTGCTGCGAGCACCAGAAACCTGGGGCTGTGTAAGCTGAGGTTAAAAGACAATGTTTCAAGTGCAGAATGAGTTAGTGGGTTTTGCTTGCAAATGACAAATCCATTGACTTTTCTCCCCTGCTTTCACTCCCCTCTAACTTTTAAGCGTGTCACCCATTGTTTGCTTTCTTATTAATAACAGAGCCCACTGTCTCTGCAAATGAAATGATGTAAAACAAAGAAAAGTGCCCACATTAAATTCTCCATCAGGGGATTACCTTGCTGGCATTTACATATCTATGCAATAAATATTTTAACATGTTAATTATACACTAATAAGAAAAATACCTTTTGAACTTTCAGTCAAATTGACACACACAGAACCGAGTCCATCAGGGAATTAAAAGCAATTAGTTTTGTAACAGAACGTAGTCACATTGTTTCTTCCCTGCAAATTGTTCTGTGGTCACCAGCCAGCCTTTTTTTTTTGGTGGAAAACCCAACAGGGACTGGAGTTTTCCGTGCCTGACTCCGTCCCGCTTGCTGGGGTCTGTCCCGTGCCAGGATGCTCCTTCCCTCCCATGGGGTTTGCTGCTGGCTTTTGTCCTGGCCCTGCAAACCTGGCTCTTCCCAGTCGTGGGGAAATCAGACTTGTAACCATCTCCCTTTTCTTTTCCTCCTTCCAGACTGAAAACTACTCCTTTGATTCCAACTACGTGAACAGCAGAGCTCATTTAATAAAAAGGTACGTAGGCTTGCTTGAAAGCGCTAGGGTTTGCCCAGTCAAATCCTGATTATTTAATGTTCTTCCTTACTGCGTTATATACTACTTGCTTTTTTTAATATGCAAAATGTTTCAAGAGTAATAATTTGATTTTACAAACAGTATTTACTTCCTATTAAGTCCCATTGGTCTTGGTTTGCAAAAAGGGAAAGTCTTTTTTTGTTCTCTTTGGCTTCTTCACACCGGGAAGTTGCAGCGAGTTAGGTGGAGTGCTGTTACCCTGACAACTTTCAAATTCATAGAGTTTATTCTGTTTGAATGCACAGGAATAAAATTATAGATTTGGATGATGAGATCTCCCTGCCATGGGAGGCGAGGGAAAAGAAAAAAAAAAATCTTGTTTGGGGACAGATAATTGGGTCGGATACATGCTCACTGTTTTAATTTGAATACTGAGGCAAAACAGCACTTTGCTCGGCTTTTTTCTTCCGTGGGTAAAAAAGAAATCATCAGTTCAGTTGCAACCTGGCAATTACCCTTGGGGGAATTTAACTCTTCAGCTAAAGTACTGGTATCCTCAGAGCTTAGCAGTGGCAAAGAAATGTCTTTGGGAGGTTAACGCTGGAGTTATCCGGTGGAACCCTCTGGATTGTGTTAAACTAGAGGTGAGCATCCCCCCGTGGGGCAGCTGGCCAGGCTTGCCTCTGCCTCCCCGGCTGTTTCCGAGGCAAGGAAAGGCACTGACACAGCACGATCGATACTCATCAGGAGGCTGCTGCGTAGGGCTGTGGGGCCGTCTCCCCGCGCAGGATGCGGGCGCAGGAGGTGGCCGGCAGCTCTTTGCCCATCTCCCTTCTTCTCCCCAGGGACTGGCCAAGGTGTGCGGCCAGCAAGCCGGGGCTGTGCCCCTACCCATGCCCGACGGGGTTGTGCCCGGGGGTTCTGCAGAAGCCATCGTGGTAGCAAGGGTGTAACGGAGATCAGGAGCCAGCCCTAACTGTTGAGATCTGATCTGAGCAGTAAAAATATCCAATTATCTGCCTGGCTGAGATCCCATTTGTTTACATCTTAAAAATATAGGGAGTGAGGGAGCTGCGAGCGCATTGTTTAAGCAGCTCGGGTTCAGCTAGCAAAGGGCAGGTATATTTGCCTGCATGGGTCATGATGTTTAACGATGCTAATGCGATTGTGAGAGAGATGGCTTGCCTGCGCCACGCCGCTCCTCGCCGGAGAGTCTTCAGGCATAATGAAAAAAACCCAAATCTATTAATCTTTCTTCGTTCACACCTAAGATAAAGGCAAGCAGCGCTCCCGCCTGCCGCAGCAGGGCTTATTCTGAGGCTGTATTGTTTGGGAAATGCTGCTGCTGCTGCCGATTCCCCGAGACCTGCCCATCCTTTAGAGAAGTGTCAGCCGTGGAAACATGTCGTGTGGCTGCTGCATTACGGTCTGGTTCACTGCGGGGAAGATAAATGCGTTGTAACACGGGTTGCCTGCGCATTATGAACAGCAGCTCCGTGTAGGACAGCGTTCCCCCTTGCTTTCTACCTTTGTCTTGTATCTTAAGTACAACGGGTGCCGGGAATGCTGTGCAGACAGCTAAGAACAAAAAATATTTTTTGTAACATACTGTGGCATCATTTTCATCCTTTGCCTTTATGAAGATGTTGTAGCTCTTCTATCTTTGGTGAGTGAATCTCCTCAAATCCAGCACTTTAATTAATCTATTTGTACTTTTCCTGTGTTGTCTGCCTGCCTCTCTCGCTCATCTACACGCACACAAATGAATTGTAGATTTGTAGTGCTTTCTTAACTTAAAATTCTTTGATGTCGCCTGGAATCAAAGTCAGTGGCTTCAACAGGGACATCTTTATTTAAAAGGTAATGTTTGAAGGTTTACCAATTTATATGTATTTCAGAGCTCCCCCCTTGCGTGCTTTTGCGAAGCATCAGATGGTAGGTGGTCTGCTTGGTTTCCTTGGAGACGCAAAAGGGCTTTTCAAAGTAATGAAAACCGCCAGCTCTTCGGGGCTTTGAAGCACAGGCCCCCCTCTTCCACCAACATTTCACACCAGATCAGCCAGCAAGAAAGTTTGGTGCCCTAGGTGCAGGCGGGTTCCCCTGCAAATGGGTGCAGATTTTCCTGTGCCAAGGCTGGGTGTGGAAGGAGGCACAGGGTGGGTGTCCGCAGGGACACCCCGATGGCCGTGCCACGGGGGGCAGGCACAGCTGCAGACGTACCTGTGGCCGGGGGGTCCCTGCGGTCCTGGGGCATCACCCCTCGCAGAGCAGTGGGGAGCGGCAGAAGGATCCCGAAAGCAGACAGAAATGAAACTCTTCCACCCCTCCGGCCTAGGAGCTGGGTGCTGTGGGGTGATGGAGCTGCTCAGCCCTTGCGGGAAATTGGGGAGCAGCTCAGCCCTCCGGTCCCCCCAGCAGCGGTTGGCTTGCAGGGGATGTCAAGGAATTTGACTGTGTATCACATTTCCTTAAAGCTGTGTGAACTTGGACTCAGAATCACCGGGTTATTTTTAAAAAGAAGAATGACATCATCATTGTGAAAAGAAGTTCCCGTTTCTAGGAAGACTTCTGTTTTCAAACTTTAAGCGATTAGGATTTGGCCTATAACCTAAAAACCTAGGGTTTAGATCCTGTGTAACTACAATATGAGGTAATATGACTTGAGGGAGCCAAGTTGTAGGAACGGCTCATTTAATGTATATTTTTTAAACTTTAGTTTCAAATACTTCACTCTCAGCTTCCATAATACCCGCAGCGGCCTGACCCGCAGGCTCACACCATACTCTTGGGCAGAAGCAGCCTGCGGGGCAGAGCAGGCTGGAGGCTGTGTGTCGGGGTGCAGAGGTGCTGAGGAGGGGGTGCCCCCTCCCACACCACGCTCCCTGCCCCAGCTCTCGGTGCTGGAGGAGGGGTCCCAGCCCTGCCGCTGGGTGCTGGGGACGACAAGGGTCACGAGGCTGAGCGGTGGCAGCCGTGCCACCACCGCAGGTCTCACTGCAGTGCGGTGGGGTGGCGGGGACCACCTTGTCCCACCCGGTAAGTCACGGCTGTGTCTTCCCCAGCAGCTCCACGTTCAAGGACTTGGAGGGGAACAGTCTGAAGGACAGCGGTCATGAGGAGAGCGACCAGACGGACAGCGAGCATGATGTGCAGCGGGGTCTCTACTGCGACACGGCCGTCAACGACGTGCTGAACACCAGTGTCCCCTCCATGGGGTCCCAGGGCCCCGAGCAAGGTGAGCCACCGCCGTGTGCCCTGGGGGGCTACCCACCACCCACCACAGCCTCCATATGCCCCATCCGGTGGCTCCGGTGCTGCCTTGGTGGGTGCACAGTAAGGATGCTTAGCGCTTGCTGGGGATAACACTGTACATCGTCAGAGTGCTGGGTAGATATAAATTAATCTTCACGCCACGCCTGTCAGGTAAGCAAGCAGTTAGGATTATCCTCTATTACACAGGCAGAAAACCCAAGGCCCTGAGCATTTCCCTGACAGCGAGTGAGCAGCGAAGTTGGGATCAGGGCAGGAATTACCGGTGCTGTGCCTGGGGCCGGTCCCTGCCGGCACAGCTCTCTGGAGCACAGACCATGTGTCCTTCCCCGCACACTCTGCTCGCCATCTCCGGGGCACATGCACAGGCACCATCCGGGCAACTTTTCCAAAAGGTCAGCAGAGCCTGTGGGCAATTAGTCAGGCATCACACCAGGGATTAGCTCAAGGCAGTGGGCAAGGGTTTGTATCCTTTCCCCGGTACGGGCGGTGAGGCTTCAGCTCTTACACATCCCCATGTGCAGGGATGAAGTCCTGCTCCAACACCAGACCGGTATTAGCTAGAGGAAAGAAGTCAGAGGAGTTCAGCTGAGCCCAATCCGTCATTTGTACTTGGGCATGAATGTCGCTTTTAATGTCTGACGGATGCAAACATCCTATGCAAACATCCTGTCTTTTTCAATTAAGAAGCCTGAATGCGGTTTGGTGCTCCGGCGCAGGAGAGCCTCGGGGCGCTTGGCTATATCTTGAGATAAGCTGTAGCTGAGGCTCAACTGGAAGCCCCACTGCTAAAAGACTTAAGGATATGAAAACAAAATGCTGTGATTATGAACTGGTCTTCAGCTGTTTAATTCAATTCATGGTAAACATCATTAAAAGCCTTTGTTTTGCTGTCATAAAAGAGTCAAACGGGGGAGAGAGAGTTCTTGCCATCTGCGCCGCTGAATGTTGTGTTTTTTTTTTTCTGGAGAGAAGCTGATTGCTGTATTAATTCTCGATAGAGTCTGTTAAATGGCCATAGTTAACCCTGTAAGACTCCGCAAGGAGGGGAACGCGGAGGTCACCTACCCATTCCACGCTGCCAGCTACACTAATTGGAGAGGGATGGCATCCGCAGCGATAATGTATTTCCAGACAACCCTACTGTGGCCAAAGATGAAAAAAATTAAACATTTATATAACTGTACAGTGGCAGTTTAATTCTCCGCGGACCGGTGCCGTGTCAGAGAATGCAGGCTGATAGCTATCATTTATTATTCTTCTATTACAAAGAAATGCTTTTTCATTTTGATCAGGAGAGGGTTTCCTAAGATGCGTTTGCAGTAAGGGATGACTGTAGGAGCAAAAACGTTCATAATTGTTTCCCATCCCATTGAATGGTCTGAGCAACATCTGTTAATTTTTTGTCACATTTCTTTGGCAAAAAAAACCAATCTCAATGGACTGCAGATAGGGTTTTACAGAGATTACATTTCTGATAAGTCTGCATGCTGGCTCTGTTGTGCACCAGATAACAATGCAAATAAGTTAAACAGGATGAGTTGGAGGCAGAGCTTGTCAGAGAAGTCAGATAGAAATAAATACGATCCAATCCATTGTAACATGAACTCCTCATTGCATGTCAAATAACCCCCAAAAATCAGGATTTATTTCCAGAAGGCAACTTCCAAAGGCAACCTGCGTGTCTGGCTCCCAGTCCTGTGATGGCCAGTGCGTTGGTGCTCTTGGCTTCAGTTTATTTTTGGGAGGAAACCGGCATGCCTTGCCATCCAGCTGGACTGGCAGGCAGGCAGGTGTGCCAGGGACCAGCTCTCCTGTCCTGTGGGACCCACACCGTCTTGTGCTGAGGAGCAGGGGGAACTCACCTGCGAGGTTATCGGGGTATTTGTGGACCAATGAGAGGAGCAGCGCAGGCGGGGAGGTTAGCAGTTACTGTCACAGAAGCTGAAGAAAAGGTTAAAGAGGGTATTTTCTGAGCTGATTTGTTGAGCAGGGACTGCAGAAAATAATCAGGAAAATCAAGATGCAGAGATGATGGTGATAACAGCAGTTCCTGCATGATTAAAGTGATGGGTTTGGCATGGTAATTTTTATCCGATTTTGGGTCAGAGTGGCAGGGCGGGATGGAAACACAACAAATTCAATGCCAAGGATGCGCAGGACCAGTGGGCTGACTACCGCCCCGAGCACACAGTCCGTGGCCGAAGGACAGCCTGGCAGGTCGTGTCCCTGTGCTTTGCCTTCGCTCACCATCCCTGCCTGTACTGTGTCTCATGTAATCCCAGAGAGATGCGTTGGGAGAGTTGTCGGAGTTTGCTCGTTATGTTAACGATTTCCTGCCTGGGAGCCTGGTGAGGTGTCCCCATGGCCGGGATCTGCTCGGCTTGGACCGCAGCTTGTAACGCCACGAGTCCTTCATGAGTGGCCAACTCTCAGCCCTTTCTCTTCGTTTGGAAATGACCTAGGTTTCCAGAAAAAAGGCAAACCACAGGGTGTAGGGTGTCAGGCTTTAGTGGGTAACAGCAGATCATCAGAAATACTGCCTGGAGCTCAGCCATTTTTGGGAGTAGGACTTCTGCCCAATCTCTCTTTACCTCAGGATCTTAATTATTGATTATAGATTCATCAGTTAAAAAGATGGCTTTAATTGCTGTAATATGTACCCAATTTGGAGTTCATTATCACCCAGAATTGTTTTCCTTCCCCTGCCAATTGATACCACATGCGACAGTGAGGAAGGCAGGCACCGGTGCTGCTCTACCTTTTGGATTGCCTCGCTGCTCTTTAATTGTTTGTTAATTTGTGGAGGTGTTAAGCGCTGCTAGAAGTTCCTGTGCATTCCTTTCCTAATGGCGTCCTCAGCTGAACTTCCAAACGTGTTTGTTAGAGAAAGGGAGGTTTTCAAGCACCTGTTGGATCTCAGTGACATTTTGGGTTGGCTGGAGAAGTCTGTTAGAGGATGGGAGTAAATCCTGCGGTCCCCCTTCGTATCTTGGCCTATTTCACTGCAATATGGGGTGGATTTTCTCCACGTCCTGGTGTAACCTTGACTCAAAGTCCAGCACTGGAGGAAACCCTGATTTCCAGCAAGAAGGTGAAGTGTGTGGTGATGCTGAGCAGGAGAACCACCACCGGCATCACCTCTGCAGACAGTGGTGGGTGATGCTGGCAGCCGTGGGAGCTTTGCCGTTGGATTTGAAGCTCCTGACACCTCTTCCTCCCAGCAATGTGGGGAAATCTCAGCATGAAATGTTTTCTAACACTGCGGAGCGTGGCAGTGTTTTTCCCAGGAAATGGCAGCATGGACCAGATGTTTTGCAGGGTAATTGAAAATTCCATTTTATCAGAAAGCATTTGCTGTCAAAAAGTTTTATCTTTACTTCAACAAAGAGGTTGATTAGATCCCTCAGGACGTGAATTAGCATCTTTGAGGCTAGATACTCTGTTTTGTGATTCAGGTAGTTATTCCTCCCTTGGTTTTGCTCATACTGGGACTTCTTTTTTTTTCCCAGAATCACAGAATGGTCGGGGTTGGAAGGGACCTCTGGAGATCACCCAGTCCAACCCCCCTGCCAAAGCAGGATCACCTACAGCAGGTTGCACAGGATCGCGTCCAGGTGGGTTTTGAGTATCTCCAGAGAAGGAGACCCCACGACCTCTCTGGGCAGCCTGTTCCAGTGCTCTGCCACCCTCAAAGTACAGAAGTTCTTCCTCGTGTTCAGATGGAACTTCCTGAGTTTCAGTTTGTGCCCATTAAATCCCTTGTAAAAATTTTTTAAGGGATTTTTAAATCCCTTTACCCTCTTCCAAACATAGTGTTTTTGCAGGCTTGGCTTGTTTTCTTTGTGTGGGTGCATATGGGCACCTAGATCTGCTTAAATGTTTTCTATTACCTTTTTCACCTTGCCTTGAGCCAGAGCCATACTTGTACTCTCTAAGTCATAGGAACTCTTGCCAGCATAGAAATCAGAAAGAACTATTTCAAATATGTGCTTTTAATGATTGAAGCAACAGATTTCAAACTTATCTTAATTCCCAGTGCCAGCCAGTATTTTTGCCATCAGTTGTAGAAGGAAAATCGTTGACCCAATGAAGCAGTGATTCGCTGTTTAAGATAAAAATAGAATCCGAAAGAAAATATGAAAATAATAAACACACACTGATCATAAAAAAGCCAGTGTTAGAAATAGTCACCACAGCCATAAAATAGTGAAAAAGCTTTAAAATCAAAGTGAGAGGGTTTTTAAGCAATGTCAGTAATGCGTCTCTACAGAGAATTGCTTCTAAAAGCATCACTTCCATTTTTCTGGTGCCAGATCAGCAGTAAAGGATGGCGTGAAATGTCATCTGGAAAGACCTGATCCTGCATACATTTCCACATTTGAGTAACTTTGCTCACATAGGTGGTTTAATTGTCTCTGAGTCTCATAAACTCCAGCAAGAGGAAGGGTTCTTTGTATAGAAATGGGTTATATTTAAATGCTTACGTTAAGTCTTCTTTATGCTATCGCACAGTATAGAAATAGGCTTGGATGTAAAGGAGAGCCGGGCATATGATATTCACTGAAACTTTTCTTGCTGGTTGCATCCCAAATTATTCAGCTACATCGTCATTTAGGGGATCAGGTTTTATCTAAAATATTCCAATTGGTTCTTATGCTCATCTCCATAGTATCTAGGTGCATTTCAGTCATGAACTGAGAACATGACTAATGGTATTAGCTGAAGGCAAACAGGTATTAGAAACTGTTGATTTTTTAAGCTGATTTCCAGCAGTTGTTCCACCTGCAACTGCCTTTTACTCTACAGAAAAGCCTTTCTGTAGAGCTGTGTGTACCTGAAGACCTAAGTGACATATCCTAGGCTTTGGAGGCTGGAAATATAGCTGCATTTCTCTGGAAGTTTCTACAAATTAATAAAAATACCTACTTTCTTGTATTCATATATGCAGCTCAAAACATAAAG